AGATATCTATGTATGTACAAATGTTTAAATATATCTCAAGTATTGCCTAATCATGAATTGCATTTCGCAGCGGCCCATGTGCTCATACATGTGGTAACATTTATTTATGCATATGTATGTATGTACATACATATCGTTACCTTAATTCATAGAGGCCCTAACCAACACTTTTTAAAATTAAAATTTTAAAGTGTTAATACAAAAAACAGCGGAGTTACATGGCACTTTTTAAAAAGCCCTACCTGTTTTTGATATCCTTTTTATAATATATTTTGCTCCTTCTGTAAAATAAAAAATTTGCTGGTTAGGGCCGTTTTGAATTAAAGAACGATTTGCAATATGCGCATACACGTATGCATGCATACATACATATGTAGTACATACATACCTATGTACTTACATACATGATTTCCATACAAAAAAAAATATGCTCATATTACAAAAAATTTGATTTCAGCAAAATGCTTAACGTGAATTTACCCAACACTGAACCTAAACCAAAGGAGCTGCTTTTGGAAAGGAGGCATTCAATTTGCTTGTAAGTAATTTTAATACATATTTACTCACAAAATTGGGTATATCTACGGTGACTTTTTTTTTAAATATCCACAACGTTTATCATATTAAATATTTTTTTCTTAATTTTGGGCTTATATTTTAACAAACACAACATATGTATGTACATAAATCCAAGTTTCAAACCTTGTACAAAACTTAGAAGAATTCTGCAAATTTTCGTCAAAATTTCAAACTAATCAAAGAGATTTTTTAATCTTTTTTTGCAATAATACGCACATTTCAACAGTCGTAAAATTCGCGTTATTTTTTGATAATTTTTTTACGAGCTTTCGTTATATGGAGAAAATGCGGAAGGCCGTCATCAACGGTAATTTTTTGCATTTCCAACTCGCACATTATTTACATATATTATATAAGTTAAAATACAAGCTATATTTAAATCAAAAAATAACAAACCTATTGCGAGTGTCGACTAGTAGTAGATAAACGACTGTTAGTCGACACTCGCAATAGGGGTGTATAACAAAAAATATTTAACATGAAAAACATTTCGAATATTTAAAAAAATCAGCGCATACTAAATTTTTTGAGTAACTGTACATACATATCTGTGTTTTTTTTTTATGGAAAAGTACCTTATGTCGAAAGACTGGCTTTAGTTTAATGCGGTATTCCCTTTATTCTTTAAACGACAAGGAATTTTTTAAAGAGACTTAATAAGAATATTGACTTGCTAGTATTGGAACTATTTCTTGCATGTTTATTTGCGAAAAGTTGTTCAACGGCTCAGCGCTAATGAGTCATTCGCAATCGTATGCTGCGAATGCCGATTTATACTAAAGTCAGCCTTTCGACATACGAACACAGATATGTACAATGCATACATTCTTGTATATTTATTCAAATTTACATATATATAATTCGTATCAAAATTAAATTGCAGGGAAGTGTCTAAAAAACGTCGTCAAAGTGTGGCATCTAGCATTTTTATACCTGTAAGTCTCTATTGATTTAAATAACATATGTACATTAACCTGCATCACCAAAAATAGTTGCAGTTTTTCCGCCGGGATTGCAAAATTTGTTATATTTTAAGAAGTCTACCAAAATATTTCGGAAAAATATTAAGATTTTAGTGAGCTGGACCGATTTGAAAACACCTCCAAAAATGGAGTTTTTTATGAATAAAAGTAGTTTCTTAAAGAACTTTTTGAAGAAAAAAGTCCCCTCAGATGACAAAACAGATTAAGCTTAAAAAATCTGCATAAAAATATTTAAAAATCTTTTCAACGGAATCGTAAGAACGAGATTTTGGATGCTGTATTTTTACTTTTTGCAAAGATTGATTTACGAAAAACTTGAATAACTGGGCCAAAACTATTCTGATTTAGACCTAAGAGATCTCAGTGGAAAGGTATTTTCACACTGTTTTTATTTCTGTCCAAAAAAAGTCATTCGTATCCCAATTTTTTATTTTTCAAATACCAACACATCTTAATTCACCTTTGAATAACATTCGTTCATCCTACCTTTCTCTATCATCCTGTGAATGAGTTTATTAGCAAAGAAATAAAAATGATGAGAAAAAACCTTTCCAATGACACCTCTTAAGTCTAAATCGGAAGAGTTTAGGTTGTGTTATTAAAGTTTTTCTTATACCAATCTTTAAAAAATGTTAAAAAAACAGCATCAAAAATCTCATTATTACGATTCCGTTCAATTTTTTTTTAAATTTTTTTTAAATATTTTTATTCAATTTTTTTAAGCTAAAACCGTTTTGACATTTGAGGGTATTTTTTCAAAAATATTTTGGTGAACGTCTTAAAATATAATAAATTTTATAATTCCAATGGAAAAATAGCACCGATTTTTTTTTGTATGGGGAGTGATGCAGTCTAATGTACATACATACATATCACCGCCTGGATAAAAGATTGTCGTATGTTACTTTCGGCAGGTTTTGGGAAATTGCGATTGAAGTTTGGAATGACATTTCTCAAAAACTCGACGATAGATTTTCTCCAAAGTTTCGGAGAATGTTACAAGTTCACGACATTCCTAAATTATTTTATTTTTATTGTTATTTGTTTTCGAGTGTACGAAGGATTTTCTTTAGGAAAATGTTTTCGTATGCTACATTTGTCAACAATTTTGCGGTCACTTTGCATGACATGCGAGCTAAAACTTTGTACTAAATTACCGACAAAATTTTAGTTAATATCTCCGAAACTAAAGAAGATATCCAAAAACTTCATATATAACTAAAAATAATCCAAAATGGAGCTTACGCCAATCTGTTGTCCATACGTACATACTAGTTGCGATCCCGTACGAGGCAGAAATCGTCAGAATTAGTCAGATTTTACAGGAAATCGAGCCCGTACTCGGTTCTCTGACAGCTGAGGGGTAAAAAAAAGCGCAAATAAGGTCCTCTCTGTCAGAAGTTACAAGTTTTAGTCCGAAGATTTTTCGCTGTTAAATTCTGGTAAATTTGTCAAACGATCTGTTGTAGTAGGTTTGACAACCAAATTGTAAACAAAAGAAAAGTGCACTCTGCTAATGCATGTGGAAAGTTATTTAATTACTTGTTTAAATGCATTCTAATAAATTTGAAAGTATTTACATGTGTGAGCGTTTTTACACACAAAATAAGCAAAAATTTACATTTAAAATATGGAGGTTATGATGAAGTTTTCAGAAGTTACCATTTTTTACTAGAAAGCGATTCCGTACTTTTCAATGTTACTCTCTCGCTCTGAATTTTTATTTTTTGACAGTTGTGCAAGTTTTATTCCGAGGAAAACGGGATAGGACCTTATACATACATGTAAGCAGACATGCACACGCAATTTGTAAAAGTTCGCCCCAAAAATGTGAAATATATCCACTTACATACATATGTACATATACATACATACCTACATGTCGTCACCCAAGGGCGAAAAGGTGCCAAGTCCCATTTTGGAATTGTCCAGGAGAGACGAAAAATCGATGTAGTTTCGTATTACCTGCCATTCTGCATCAAAAGCTAAATTTTGAAGAAAAAAATGGACTTGGCACCTTTTCACCTATAGGTAGCGATGTGTATGTACATATGTACATACGTATAGAGAGGGATCGAAATCAGAAAAATAGTTGTATAGGTAGAATACGTTTAAGATCGAAAAGTACTTAAAGGATATTCAGATAAAATTATATTACCAGTATTAGTTTCTATTATGTGAGCTTCACTCCTAATGAGCCACCTTGAATCCAAAGCTTTAATTACGAAATTAAACACAATCGTACAAGACGTACATGTGTATGTGTGCAAGTATGTGCATGTACATAAATACATACATAACGTTACCTTAATATATGTATTTACTACATACCTAGACAGGCCATAACTAAAATTTGTGTTTCTCTACAGCACAGTTATAAAACTTTATAAAAGCTCTTCAATTGAAAATTTTGTGTCAAAAACCTAGTTTATACAATTCCGAATTTCGAGAAAAAATGAGTTAAGGCCTTTATATATTAAGGTATCACGATATTTATGTGTGGACATACATATCTATGGTAGGTCTGCAATCACGACGCAACTCAAAACTAAAAAAAAAAAACGATATTAGGTACTGTTAAGTGGCTCGTTGCTATAATCCTCGTCTAATCCATGTATAATCCTTACCGAAGTAATATAATCCTTACTAAAGTAAGTAGTATAATCGTTACTCAAGTAAGTAGTAGGGATTACTCCAGTAAGTAGTGTGTATAAGATATTGATCAGACACATGAGGGCCTTACAATAGTAAGGTTTTTTTTTTTGAGTTTTAAGTTGTGTCGTTATTGCAAAGGACCATCGATAAGTACATATACATGTATATATGTACATATTCATATACGTATATACATACATATTTTATATTCCAAACGCTCAAATCCACCTGTCCGTAATCTGAAAAAAAAACTTTTCTCTTTGTACAGAATGTGATTACAGAGGGCTCAAGGTGGTTGGTTAAGGAAATTTAAATTATTGCACTCCTTAGAAGTTTTGAATGCAAATTTTTCTCTGAAAATAACAAAGATCAGTAAAACTTTTTACTTCAATGCAGAAAGACCATCATCAAACTGAGCCACGCCTTAAGGAAACACTCGATTCAGAGAAGAAATCTATATTCAGCTCGCGTAATAAAAAGAGCCTTTCTTTATTAACAAATAAGAGAAAAAACATTGGTCGTTTAATATCAAAAAAGAAATTAAAACGTGTAGCGACTACTAATAAAAACAAATGCATTTCAAAAGCGAAAACAATTCGAACTACACTGAAGCATCCTAAAAGCTATCCTATAATTAAGCAAATTGTCTCTAGCGAAAAAGTACGTTGTGTAGTTGAAAGTTTAAGGGATGACAAAATAACAAAAGGTTCAACAACTAAAACAAGTGAATGTTATTTCGTCGACTCATTGATGCAAGATAAAAATAAGATGGAAAATGTAAAGATGGAACAGGAAAATGAAGATTTAAGGGAACAGACGGAGATGCAACAGCTTGAAATTCCGTCAAATGATCTAATTTATTTACACAGACAAGATATTGAAGATAGCGAAGCTAAGACGGAACAATATGTCACTAATAGCGACGTAGAAAAAATAGATTCACAAATTCAGTACAGCTCTATAAACAGGGTAGATAACTTCGTTATAATGGTCGATGCTAACGCCGGTCATGTTGAAATCAAGTATGCCGGACCTTTATCCTCCCCAAATGAAATTGGAACATTACAAAACCCAACAGAAATGGAGATATATATCCCAGCACATGATAAAACGCAGGAAGAGGCAAATAAAGAGTATGAGGAGCTTGGCTATATGAAAGCTAGCAATAGTACTGCAAATATGAAATCCAATGCATGCTATGCAAATATTTCAACAAGCTGCAGCGGTGATCATCTAAAAAATACCAACATTTGCGTCGATGATGTATCAACAAACAAGATAAAACAGAGGTAAACTTTATCGAATTTCTTTTAAAACAAATATATATGTATATATACATACATACACATATTCAATAAATATTTCCTTTTTTACAGCAATCAAGGTGATATTATAGATTTGAGCCTAAAGGAAACAACCGTAGAAAAGCACCCAGTTCAAGCTGTGTACCGACCATCGAGTGCAGAACTCACTTACAGATCATCAATGTGGAGAGGCGATACTAATCAAGGAGTGCTAAATACACAACCAACTGTGTATGGGCCAGAGACACATTTGTTACCTGCGCAACAAACAAGTCTACCGTGTCATCAACAATTGTTAGACCAAAGTATTTTCAATAAGGTCTCATCATCTTCCACTTCACAACCAAATTCTTGCAATCATAGTTCTACAGAAATTCCAAAAAGAAATGCCAACCATCATCTGAAACATCAAACTGCAGTTAACAAATTACAGCCAGCGTCGTTTCATCATCATTCTTTTAGTCGACGAAGTGCGCATTTAGAGACACCTCCAATAAGTCCAATAGACTGTCAATGGAGAGTGCTACCGCCGAAAAGTAATTTTCCTATTTATGATCAACAGAAAGGTTTTCGTAAAGGTGGTATTCTAAAATTAAACGAGTTTTTTTCGAATTCCCAAAGAAACACGATGCCGAGTGAACTAGCCTGTGGAACTTATAAAAACTCACATTATCCAATTGATCAGCTAATTAAGAAACAATTACCAAAAAGCCTTAGAGAAGCGCGGCAAGCGAATGCATTCGACCGAGGGGCTTCTTTTCATCATCGATTTGATCAGATTCAGCCGACACCCCAAAACGCACAACAACATCAAGTTTGCTGCGACCGGCAACAATATCCTGAACAAATTAATTACCCTTCGCAAATGAGTAGCCAATTAGATATACCGAGACAGTTTTATAATCCACTTCATCAAAGTTTTCTCTCGGACCCTTATTATAGACCTTCTTTAAAAATCCCCCCATCTAACGGCGTATTCGAGCCAAAAGAAACGAGGCGATTCAGCTGTAGGCCTAACACATTTCCGAATGTTCGGTTTCAACCATTACAAAACTATTTACCACCAACACCTCCTATAACTGATCGATGCTTTCCATCCGATCAATCAACACCTACTTCGTTACCATTTCCATCACAAAACTGGACAAACACACTATATAAAAACTCAACATTTTCTCCAAAATCCCAACCTTTTTGGAATGTCCCACCACATCTATATTCAATTCAATCAAGATTACCTTCTGAAACAGAATATATCAGTCGTCTGCATACCTCCGCCTTAACGGCGAACCCCATAAATGCTTTAACCGGCCGTGGACACAACAGTATTTGCTTCCCAACTCCTATGCATATGCAGTCGCAGCAACAGTTCCCTTTAAATTACTTCTAATCGTCGTTTAAAGTACAAAACCGCGTATCAACAAAATGCAAAACCGCGTATCAACAAAATGCAAAACCGCGTATGTGAGGCTGTATAAATTATTTTCTAGAGAGTAAAAACACTCATATTTGAGAATGGTTGCCTTTTTTAAATAGCAATCGCAATTCTGGCTAGTATATTTCAGGACGGATGGATAAGGATTGAGCCAAGAGCTTGTGCCAAGCAAATCCAATTTTTGGCAAAAAATGTCAGTTATGCGGTTTTGTACTTTAAACGACGATGTGTACATACATACTTGTAAAAAGCACATAAGTATTTAAGGAGTAAGTTCAAAAAAAGGAACTTTTTTATACAAACTGGAAATTTTCATGTACGAATACATGTCGATGGCCTACACCTACATATGTACATATCGATCGTCCTTTGCAATAACTTAGCAACTCAAACAAAAGCCTCACTATAGAAATTAGGGATCTTAATCAAACAAAACTTCATCTTAAAACTCTGGCATACAACGTAAGATTATCTTTAATTACTGACATTTATTCTAGTACATTTGTACATATCGCTTATTTACTTCAATAGTGTCATAATCCAAAAAATACAAATATTGAGCTAAGTATGCAGAAATCATCGCAACCTTCCATGTTGTGTAAAAATTTCATAGCCATATTGATTACCAGTATCTCACTAGAACAAAATAGGTTTTCATTTTTACTATGGGAGTATATCGACACCTGAGTGTAAGATCGACCAATCTCGGCAGCCAGTTCGAATTTGATTTATGAATTTTATTGAAAAACACCCTCAGCCTTATCATGAATATTTGGTGAAAAATGTTGCCGTCGAAAAATTTCGTTCAACGAAATGGTTCACTTTCCCCTCTATTATGGATTCGTACGATGCACGATAAACGCTTGCATTCCGTTATTCTCTATTACGAATTGAGGTTGTCGTATGAAATCCTATAGTAAGCTTGCAAGCGTTTATAGTCTATGGTATGAAAATTCATAATAGGGGGTTTATCATGAATGTGGAACGATTTCGGGTGAACGAAATTTCACATAGAAATTTCGAAGTTGGGATAACTGCTGTCAAAAAGGCATTAAATATAATTTCAATTTTGCGATACATAGGGCGTTTTTGAACCGCATTATGAGATAGGGGCTTTCTTCAATCAAATTCTGAGATAGGGCGTTCTTTAACCAAATTCAAACCAATACTCAGGTGTCGATATGTAAACTCAAAACTTTAAAGCCGTTTTTGTCGAGTTTCCATTTTTTGAGTTATGACACTATTGAAGTAAATGAGCGGTATAGTGATTACATATTTACGTATGTATTTATTAAACTCACTCATGTGTTAAAAGGTAACAGTTTTAGTTTAAGAGTAATCAATTTTTATTAGTGTATTATTACATTCCTCTCGGTTTAAATTGATATTTGTAAGCATTTGTTTTAATGACACACTACATTCATAAATGAATTTGGAAGTTATTCCATTTTTCCATCAGAGATACATATATGAACAATATATTCGTGGATTTCCGTTGTGATCATGTAATTGTCAATTGTTAAAAACAATAAAATTTATCAATAATTCTCATAATCTGAAAATTTATTAAAAAATTACTGGCATCATTTTTAGGATGATGAGCGGTCTAATCATACATATAATCATAGATGTTAGTGTATTTTTTATCTGCATATTGATAGTACATTACTGAGCACTTGTAATATATTGGCGTTCACTCCAGATTTACATAATAAATATACTATATCGTCACCTGAAATGCAAAAAGACGTAACAACATCGTAACTGAAATGTAAGAAGTCGTGACTAATATTTTTTTTTTCATAAAATGATGTGCGAGTTGTAATTCGATGATGGACATATCAATCAAAAAGTGAATTTTGCATTTTTTATTAGTTGCGTCTTTTTTATTTCAGCGACGATGTTTGTTACGTCTTTTTGCATTTCAGGTGACGATATGTATGTATATTAGGGTGGTAAAAAAAAAAGTAAGGCGAGAATTTGAGTACTCCCGCCCCCTAGGATTGTTATATACAGAAAAATATACCTCGCTTTTTTATTTTGAAATCAAAAAATATTTAGAGGTCGTTCAAAGCGCTAAAAGTTGTCTATGTATTTTATATGGAGAAAAAATTATTTTTCGTAGAAATGATATGGAATTCTTCAAAATCAATATTTTTCGATTGGAAAACTCTGTTTCTCTTCAGGAGACTTCCAATAATCCCCCCAAAAATGCAGAGTATTGTGTAAGCTAGTAACTGTAAGGGTACATATCAGCACCTTGAAGTATTTACATACATAAATAAATTTTAAAGTAAAGACTTTTTTGGTAAAGCGAAAATTGCAATATTTAATATATGTATATATATATATATATATATATATATATATGGATGAATGTATTTTCGTGGTACACCTTTAATTTAATCACATACGCTCGCTCTCAGGGTTATATAAAATATTGGTTAAATATTAATTTACTTAAATAAACTTTCAGGTGCTGCAGAACAGTGGCTTGAGTGGTCAGAAATTTTCAAATTCATGACCAAAATATAAAAGTTCGAAAATGAAGAGTAAACTCTGAATTCGGAACCTTAAGAGTTTTCATCGGTGACATATATGTACCCTTGCTGCTGCAAAATATTTAAACGCTTCTCCACTGCGTCACGATCTGAAAAAGACAAACAAAGTATTTGCGCTATTTGTATAGATAATTGTAAGTTTGTTTCGCAGTTATACATTTATTCAGTAACATCTTGTCCTGTGGATGGTTGCATTTCTGTACCAACGAATGCAGCAGTATGTGCGCCGTATTGTAGCGTTCAAAGCAATTTTTTGTATTACTTAGCAACTCGTCCAAGGCGGCCGCTTGACACTAGCGAATAATGAAACAGAATGAACGAAATTATTTTTTTAGATACATATCTACATATGTATATCCATATCGCACACGTTCTCAAAAAATGGATCAACTCAAGATCCAAAAATTATAAAGTTGGAATCAGTACACTTTTGAAAAATGTCTGCGAGATGTAATAAACTGTCTACTCACCATATCCAAAGCATAGTCATAGAGGATTTTGTCAGCTGTAATGTTGAATGCATTTGCTTTTTGCAACAAACCAGAAACATTTAATTTTTTTGATTCGAATAAAATTGATCGATATTTGGAGTTCATTGTAAGCAAAGCTATATAAAAGGATTGTATATATTATTTTTGTACATATCGTGCCTATAACACATATTAATTTTATTTTGAATCAAGTTTACCCACCATTCTTGACGTTTGATGAGGGTTTAAGATTTCCACTACGTAATTGTTGGGAAGCCAAATTCAATCCACTCGAAAGGAGATGTAAAGCACGTACCAACAACACTAGCCGCTCAGCTCGTTTACAATGTTCAGGCGCATGTGGCGGTATGGACTGCTGGTCAGAGGAGGTTGCACCCACAGCCATGAGCGCTGAAAGAGGTGCACAACGGGAATCCGCAACCTCTTGTATGCAGTCGGTAAGTGCCAAAACAAAATTCAATTTGGAAAGTGTTTCATTATGCTCGCGGTCCATGAGTGTCTCCTCCGACAGTTCAGGTGCATGGAAAGTATGAAGTTGATGCCCTTCTACGCCGGTGGCCCGACTGCTAGCTGTATCCAGCAAACTTTGCAAGCCTCCCGTAGCACCTAGCTCCGGTAATGTAAATGCACGCGGACCTAACACGTGATGCTGATTGTTATTTTCTGATCCACCAGACCCGGAACCCAGTGAACCGACCGAACCGGGACCCACAATAAGTGTGGGACTACCCAAAGTAGGCAATTTAGCTAATGTAGACGGAAGAACTGGCGAACTGTGGCCTGAACGCCGCAGAGGAGACTGTGTTTGTGTACCAGGGCTTACTTGCCAAGTACAAGGTGCACTTGGTGGTGGCGTCTCCGACAATGAACTACCGGAAGCTGAACGCCGACGAGCAGGCGGGGTGCCAATGGCAAACTGCACTGCTGGCGGCGAAATGGAATTAATATCGCTGCTGACACTAGTCTTGCGATGTTCAGCACGTTGTTTGACGCTGATTGGCTGTGACCGAGGAAACTGTTGCCCGCTCACGCCGACAACCGTTTGCTTTGGTGACGATGCCACTGCAATATTATTAGGGTTATTAGATCACATGCGTTGAGCTTTGATGTTAGCTGCATAATTACCAACAGTTGGAGACGCATTCGTTCCAGCCACAGGATCAACTGTATTTGTCGAGAACCGACGAGCTGGTGCAGGAACCGGCTTTGGTTCTGAGATTGGTAGACTGCTTGGGCGTGGTGGACTTGAATGATTAGTCGTTTGTGCAGCTTGGCATGCGGCTGAATGCCTGATTTGAAGAAAATGGGAACGTTTAGGTTTAATTAATTCACCATCTGTACGATTTTCATACTTTTTCTCATATTCGATGACAGTTTGATCTTCTGGGAGATTCTTAGGCACCAGAACAAAGTCATCTGAGTCTTCTGGGGAACCAGATGAAGCGCTATTATTCTCGCTGTCGCAAAGCACGCCTACGTTCGTGATGGTAGCGCAAATAGCCGGATTCTCTACAACGGAAACTAAAAGTAAATATAAAATCACAATTAAGATTATTAATACACCTTTATATGCCAAGGAATATAATTATAATCTTTCATATGTATTTCAAAGTAAATGTTTGTGGTTGGCTACAATCATCCATAATACCTGTATTATCGTCTTGTTGTGCTGCAGCAGCCTCAACGTCAGCTTCGCAAAGCTGCTGCAGTTGTTGAAGTTGCTGAAGAGGACTTTTCGTTTTTGTTGGCGGAGTGGTTGCCAAACTTAATTGTGGGGGAACATCCGCTGGAAACAATTATAATATACTTATATATATATAATTTATACTTTAATTATACATACATAAGAAAAAGTATGTACATATTTACGTACATATATGCATATATGTATGTACATTAGGGTGTTCCAAAAATGCATGTGAAAAAGTAAAGTCGGAATTTTTATGCTCTCACCCCTAGGGTTGTTCTATACCGAAAAAAAATATATCCCTATTTTTTTTTTTTTAATCAAAAAATATTTAAGAGGTCGCTCAAAGCGCCAACGTTTTGCAGGTATTTCATATAGGGAAAAAACAACTTTTTGTATCCGAAAACTCTGTTTATCTGCAGGAGATTCCCAACAATAATACCAAATTGTTTATTTAACAATTTTTTCATCCAACTATAATTTATAGGTCCGCCAAAAACCCACAGAAACCCGAAAAATGTAGTGGGGGGGGGGGCCAATAAAAAATCGTTAGTATTGAAAAAAAGGTTAAATAAACAATTGAGTATTATTGTTGAGTCTCCTGAAGAGAACCAGAGTTTTCCGATCGAAAAATAGTGATTTTCAAGAGTTCTAACCATTTCTACGAAAAGTTCTTTTTTTCCCATGTAAAAATACATGGAAAACTTTGAGCGCTTTGAGCGACTTCTAAATATTTTTTGATATCAAAATAAAAAAAGGTGTATACTTTTTTTCGATATAGAATAATCCCGAGGGGTGAGGGCATTACAATTCCGACTTTAATTTTTTTTTTTTAACCACCCTAATGTACATACATATAAATATGTATGTATGCACGTGCGAATAAACTTCCGAGTTATTTTGACTTACTAGGAGAAACAGAAGTGGTGATTTTTTTACCCTGTAAGAAACGATGACTGAAAAAACTCTCAAACGAAATTCTGTCCTTTGCATTGCGCCGCAGCAAACATAACAGCAAGTCACGTAAATCCGGCGAGACCCCGCTGGGTATTCTGTGAAACAATGAATACATGATTAAAAAAATACTAAAATAATCGTTATTTTGATTTCTTTTGGTATGAAGATTTCTATTTTATTGAGCGGATATAGTTGCTATTTTATGATTTTTATCATTTTCATAAAGAATAATCGTTATTTTTGGACCTTTATTTAATCGATAAGCGTTTAGTTTTTTATTTTTCCAATCTTAAGGCCGCTTCGAATTCTTTATAACCTCAAAAATGGTTCTGATATGATCGAAAATATAGAAATAACAAAATAATGATGAAATACAGTGACTCAAACAAATTTTAACATGTTGTATACATACATATCGCATGTTTAATAACATCCATCCTGTATCATTTCAAAATTTATATTTTGTATAAAGTTTGAAACTTTTGCTTAACATGTTGTTAGTCACTGCATGGTCGAAAAAAATCCAACACGATAAAGTATTTTTGATCTTAAATATAAAAATAACAAAATAACGATTAAATAAAATAAAAATAGAAATTCAATTTAAAGTGGTAAAGTTTTATTTTTACTATACAAATCATAACAGTTACATAGGTCCCTGCTAAAATCCAAATCTTGGATGTTCATTATTGACACTGCCTACGAACAGTTTCCGTTATATTTGAACAAGTTTGTACATATACTATATAAATAAATGAGCTCTTACTTTGGCGCCAAATTGGCATTCTTTTCGTAATATCCCTTCAATTCATTCGGAGTTTGTGCAAAGAATGGTGCTTTGCCAGTCAGACATTGATACACGATGGTACCCAAAGACCAGAGATCAGCTTTTGCATCGTATTGTAAAGACATTATAACCTCAGGAGCCTAAAATAATATAATTGAATTTCGAATTACTAAAAAATATACTGTCACCACTAACCATGTACATGGGTGAACCGCAAAGTGTAGCCGCCATAACACCCTCATTTAGGAAGCGTGCAAAACCAAAATCCGCTGCAGACGCAGAAGCAAAGGGAATAATGTTTATATTTTGTAAATGAATGTAATGAAATATCGCATAAATGTTGACCTACCTATTTTCAATGTGATTTTCGATGGCGCAGGCAAAGTTTTGCCATAATTGTGCGACAACAATATATTTTGTGGCTTAAGATCACGATGCACAATTCCTTTAGTGTAAAGCGCTTTCATGGCACCGGCTGCAATACAATTGAGAATAACAACGCCAACACCTTTCGAAATTATTTAAATTTACCTAATTGTATGAGAAAGAGTCTGACAGTGTCCTCACTAAGAGTTCCCTTTACAGTGAGATAGTCCGCCAAATCACCGCCGTTGCAATACTGTAATTACAGAGGATAATAAACATCGAAAATCTAAATACAAAATACATATAAAAAGTATGTATTTAAAAATATGTCAACTAACAACAAACACATGGGAAAATCCATGGGTACATATCGTTACCTTAATTCACAAAGGCCCTAACCAACAAATTTTTAATTATAAATGAGCAAAAAACATTATAAAATGAATATCAAAAACAGGTAGGGCTTTTTAAAAAATGGCATGTAACTTCGTTGTTTTCTTGTTTTCGGTACTGGGACGTTAAGATTTTTACTGAAGGTGTATTTTAATATAAATCTATGAAAAATGGAGTTTCGAAACAAGTGTTGGCTAGGGCCTTAGTGAATTACGCTAACGATACGTATGTATGTACATATGTCCATAAAGAAAATTACCTGAGGTAAACATAAATAAATATCTATGTACATATATAATCAACATATAATTCTATGCTGTGCAGTACATACATATGTACATGGATTCACATACTTTCATTTAAATATGCAAATTTATTTAATAGTTGTAAGCTTGACCATGCACGTATTCAAAATGTTTTATTAGAAAATCAGTGTCAAGAAAGATATACATGAAAATAAAAAGTATGATTCTCCTAGTTAAAAATCGGACGTTCAAAAAATCTGCGCCAATGCGAAAGAATTAAAGTCAATCAGCAACGGTTAAGATAATAAAGTGAAAAAATTAAGCGCCATTGCTATCATCTGAAATGGTTGTGGGCGGCTAGTCAGTCAGTGCAGTGAACGTTTCTTTACACTGTGAAAAGACAAAAAAAAAGATAGTTTGCGAATGTCGTGCAGCATCCGCTGACCTTGACGTCAATGCGAAAAATTGCACATGTGTTTAAGTTCGGCTAGAAATATGTTATCTGTGCAGATCATCAGAATGCATTCCAAAACAGGAAAGCTCAGGAATAAGAGTAGTTAAGTGGCAACTAATTGTAGTTCAACCGAAAAATAGAAGAATACAGGTGTTTTAATTTTTTTTTTTTAAATTTGATTTACATATAATGCAGAAAGAATGCATCTATAAGAAAATTTTGAAAACAATGTCAAAATTTTTTATATTACTTCTTCCTAAGAATTACCATTTCTTATAAACATATTTTTAACTGCATGCGCGTTCATTTATTTCTCTTGTGCCTCGCATGCGATCAAAATGGAGAATATACATACATATTTATGTACTATGTAGTCAAGTACAGTAAGTAACGTTACAGACCGTATATTTCGGTTTATAGTAGATTTCTCATAAACGTGTTTATCCAAAAGTTAATATTTTTATAGTTTCTTTGTATCTAGATCTTTATTAAAATACTTTAGTTTAATTTTTAACGTTGCGGGATCCGTCAAGTTTTCCGTACGTGGGACGTTATATGTATATAACTGATTTCCAAAAAATATAACGTTAAAGGCCACTTAAAACCACATTTATCTTTAAAATAACAAAAGATAGAAAACAAGTCTGTATACAAAATGTAGCTTTTGAGGTTTATTATCAGGATAAACGAAAAACTTTCGGTTTTTACACAGCTTTCATATATTCTAACAGAAATATACGTGCGACTGTAACGTTAAAGACAAAAATCTTGACCATATGTATGTTTGTATGCATTATAAAATTTCTGACATTACGAATCGTAAGTGCACCTTGCAAATAACATAGAATATAAAGAAGATGCACATCTCTTTTCGTTCCTGTACGATTTCATTCGATTTTGGTGTGATGAAATAAACTAGCCGCGTAGTGGTGGAGGAACGAACCAGCAACATCTTTATATTGGATGTTCTTTGCATCTCATGAACCACGTAAATGATTATAGAAAGAAAAGAAGATACCCAATGGGGAAATTTCCGTAGCCTTGAGAAGCCCTTTCACGGTGAACAGATTGCATAGTAAAAATCGGTTTTGCCATGGGACAGCTTTGCAAACCGTGCAAGGACTTTGCAAGACTTCGAGAATAGCTGCAATGTATGTACGTATGTATATGAATATGAATGTATCTATGGGGAAGTGATTTATAGAGCTAAAAGCTAAAACGATATAAGGATGATTGATTCGGTTTTTTAAAACCAGTTTCATCGACCGGTTTTTTGAATATTTTTAGGCGGTTTTTTAGTTTTGATTTTTCGAATACCGAGTAAACCGGGATTTGCAATTGTATAAACCAGGTTTTCACCTAGTTAATTTGTATACCAGAATCTAGACAATCTAACTATTTATTTAATTGAAAATGGAACTAGCAAATTTTTATTAATTTTATATCAATACTGGAAAATTTTTCACGGCAGAAAATTGCTTAAAATAAGTTAATAGTGAATCTATATTGAAAAAAAAACTTTCTATGTATGAACGAAATGGGACCATAAATACGGGTTCCCAAATATCTCGACTCCTGCGCCACCTAGCGGATTATTTCATACTGCATAGTCATCGGGTTCTGAGCTACATATGTGTTAAGTCTCAAGTCTCTAGCTCATCGGGATGTTGGAGAAATATTGATTGCAGGACATACTACATATGTACATACAATACAAGTTAAGTTAAATAAAAGATTGTAAAATTTAGGGAAAGCCTTTCGCTGTTTTTTTTTTGTTTTTTGTAGCAGCTCACTACACTTTGTAACATACAAAAAATTTCTTTATGGAACAAATCTGGTGGATTGTGCATGGTCTTTTTTTGGAAGAACACTATTTTTTACCAATTTTTATAAGGTTAAGGAGTAATTTTGGGTCAATGCCAGTATTTTTCCGTGAAAGGGAATAAAATTAGCTTTCAAAACCATTTTGTTTCATATCAAACTATTGCTGCTGTCGAAAGCGCTACGATTAATTCGCATGGAGTGTTCATAAAGCACACTGCGTGACGCAGGTGTCGAGATATTTGAAAAATTCGTATTTATAGTCCGATTTGTTTCATATTTAGAACATGTACGGATTCAGGGTGTAAAAACCTTTCATAGAGTGAAGGTTAAATTAATATACAAATTTACATACGTACAAACATACCTATTTACATACATATAAATATGTACATATATTTACAACTCCTTTAATATAATGCATATATATTGTTCAATGGCATACCAAGTGATAGTGAAAGTTCTTAAAACTATTTTTCGTTGTTAATTTGTATCTGCATACATACAGTATCGGTCATATCTATAGCACGTCATTTCAAAGTGATAATGTGTGCCACATATATTTATTTATTTATTTTTAAGAATTTTCAATTAAAATTGAGTTCATTCTCGGACAAACCCCATTTATACCCAAGTTCAACAATTTGTAGAAAACTACAAAAAAGTGTAACAAAATTTTCACCTAAATTTCAAACTTTTTTCTCGGAAGTGATAGAATTTTTTTGAGTACACAGTTTTTTAGCCCCTGCAATTTTAGTATGATAATGTGCAAATTTCAAGTGGCTACGAATTACCGTTAATTTTTTAGATTTTTTTGTCGCATTGGCTTCCATATAATGAATAAATTCAATTTATTTGTATATGGAAGAAAACCGCAACATCCTTGGCGAAAAAAATTCTAAAAAATCAGCGGTAACTTTTAGCCACTTGAAACTTGCACATTGTCAGACTAAAATTGATTGGGCTATAAAACTGTGTATTCAGAAAAATTCAAACACTTCCGAGAAAAAAGTTTGAAATTTAGGTGAAAATTTGTTGCACTTTTTTGTAGGGTTCTATAAGTTTTTAAACTTGGGTTTATATGGGTTTTGTTAGAGAAAGAACTGCATTTTAATTGAAAATTCTTAAAAATAAATAAATAAACATAAGTGGCACACAATATCACTTTGAAATGGCGTGCTATAGATGTGACCGATACTGTAACTAATGCAAGTCATACTTAATTCATATACACATTTGAGGGATTCACAACGGTGTCGAAAGTGTCGTAAATTTTGAAAGCTCAAATAAATGTTTAGAGAACTTTAAACGACAACCAACTATTTTTTAACACTGCAAAAATTCATAATATGACTTTTATGGTACTTTGCGAGCCCCCTTAGTATATTTTTAAGGCGTTTAAAGTTTACGACATATAACAATACGACACTTACGACACCCCAATTATATGTAGAACAGTCTTAAGTTTTTTTTTTTCAATAAACAAAAATTTGACCAAACTGAAACACTGGTTTCCTCCAAATAAGCAATGGCTCTCTCAATCTCTCTCTCTCTCTCTCTCTTTGTGATTTCCCAGCCAAAAATTTCTGCATCATTTGCTGTGCTTCAAAAGCTTCAGCAACAAAATCAGTTATAGCTCAGCGCTCGAATTTAACAGTTTAGTGTGGCAGAGTTTGTCCGCATAGACATGATATTTACCCGTTCCACAATCGCCGAAGCAATCACTTAGTCGATGAGTCTGCTAAGCAATCCCAGCGTCGCAGTAATGTAGTAAAACCAAGTAAAGTTTTGTAACTTCAAAACTGACTGAAACAAATCTGCCTTGACATGAATTTAACGCATGGGCTATTTGTTGATAATTTAGTGCAAAAATTAAAAAAACAAAGCTAGTTAAAACAACATGACATGAATAAGAGCTACTGAGTGAAAAGCACCGGGAAATGTTTAATAAACATATGTACACAAAAACATACATAGTACTGCAGTGTTAAACGACTGCATATACATATGTACATATATGAAAAAACTAAAGAGGCAAAAACAAAGCTTTAATCGAATCATTTGAATCGTTCAAAGGTTAACTTTTTGTGATCGACAGCGTAATGGCGATAATAGAGGCAGCCTATACAAACAGTGTACGGATTGATACCGTGTTATTGTGTGTGAATCAAATGTGGTGATAATAATTTAAAAATTGCTAACACTGTTTTCTTTGTAAAAATATGCAATATAGCTACTTGCTGCGTTGAAAAAATTGTTGACGTTTTCTTATATACAAATTGCACTTGCCGGTTTTTGACACACGCATCTGCATACATACATACTTTAATACGTGCATATGTAATATTCGCAGAAAACAGCACATCGTCACCTGAAATGCAAAAAGACGTAACAACATCGCAAATGAAATGGAAAAAGTCGTGACTAATATTTTAATTTTTTTTTCATAAAATGATGTGGGGAGTTGTAATTCGATGAAATCTATCATATATGTATGTAAATCAAAAAGTGAATTTAGAATTTTTTTTATTAGTTATGACTTTTTGCATTTCAGCGATGATGTTTGTTACGTCTTTTTTTTGCATTTCAGGTGACGATAACAATGCTTTTATTAAAACCAGTGGTTCATGATTATACATAAATATCCATATGTGTATGCATACATATACATACATATATAAATATACATCTGTGAACCTTGTGCTTAGGTTTGTAAATAGCTGACGGTGTAAAATATCGAAAAATAAATTTAGAACCGGCTGAAGTGCAGAGGAAGTTAATGCAATCGCGCAACAAAAATGCATTCACAAATGAAAAATTCTCAAAAAATCATAACAAAAGCAATTATGATTTCAAACGTTTTCTCTCACTCTTAAAACCAAACGATTGAGAGTGAGAAATCGAACATTACGACTAAATTAAATATTGTGATGAGAGTATAGGGTTGGGGCATCAGAAGAGATCACATTCCGGTGGTAAACTAAAGCTAATGAGTCGCCATTTGCTAGCGCGGGTTGGAACAGAATGGTCATTCGTTAAATTCGGCATGTCGACCTTTTCAGCCCATTGCGAGTGTGGTAATCAAGCGACAACGGAAACAACAGCATATTAAATGTTTTATGACTTTGAAAACATAAATAACACAATAAACAGTACATGGATCTAAATTTGTAATAATCGTCGAAACGTATCGGTGCATTATTAAAAAATTATAACTGAAAATAAAAAGACTAATAATATGCTACTCGTATATATGTACATACATACATACGTACGCAAAACATTAAATACGTACGCAAAGTGATTAAATAGAACAGAAAAGAATAATTAACACCAAAGTATTCAATGGAATTCATTATTTATTAACAAAAATAAATTAAAATAAAATCAATGTGTGCTACATGAACCCAAATTTACATCTTTTAAGTGCTCGAAAGTACTCATTCGTAAATTGCAAATACATTTTGTTACTTTCCCAACAAAATGCTCATTTATTTTAAGTTTGGATTGCTCTTAATATTCATACTCAGTTTGAGGTAAAATAACTGTTTTTATTAATATTTTAATATTTTTATTGATGAGCATTGAACATTTAAAAAATCGACTATAACCATATGCGCCAATAAAATTTGCAGTTCAATTCTTTATTTTACATTTTATTGCTGCTATATTACTTTGTCAGCTATCTTCAATCAATCCAATTGACAACTCGCTCTATACTATATCATAATAATCGATAATAGTATTATCGCTTTTAAAAAAGCGTAAAGGTTTCAAAGTGCGAAGTTCATATAAAATGCGATTCCAGTACCGAATAGCTATGAAATTATATGTGTGGCAAAAATATATACAGATGTATGTATGTATGCAAGTACGTAGCATATATCACACGGGTTTTAAAATTGTATATAAAAGTAATCATTTGGTATGCATTTATCCAGCTCATTACAGTAAATTAACAGAAAAATTTTAAATGCTGTTGTCATACGAATAAAATTAAATGGACTTTAGACGAATAGCGTAGCATATGTATATACATACATATGTATAATAGGTTTTATGTGCATTGGGGTTCAATTAATCATAAATAAGTATGTACATAGTTAGGTAATTGTTGAAATTAGCTGTTTATGATTTTTGGCGGACTTATCAACAAAGCGGTAAACCTTTGAATTGGTTGCAAAAGACGACAAAATTTATAGCTGCTACCTTTTTGAAGAACAATTTAAAATACTTCAAATTTATATACTAATCAATCAAAGCAAAACAATACGGAAATATGAATGTATGAATCGACACTGAAATGGAAACGTCGTGACTAATAACTTTTTTTTTTTTTTTTTGTACATATAAAATGATGTGACGAGTTGTAATTCTACAAAATGCATCATATCAATCAAAAATTAAATTTAGAGTTTTTATTAGTTACAACTTTTTGCATTTCAGTGACGATGTAAAAGAGGCGGCGAATTGAAACAAATGAGGGTTGGCAATTTTAGATACCCTCTAAATGAACAAACAAGAGCGACATAATGATAATAACGTATGTACATACATACATATTTCCATAGTAAAAGGCTGCCGTGAGTATGCATATGTACATACAAACGTATAAAAATGTACGTATGTATGTATATATATACATAACTTGGTAGTGTCACACAATAGCGTTCGTTTTCGTTTCAGTCGTAAGAGATAATAATATCCTGAGGAGAACCTAGTTGATGACGTGAGTACCTGCGTTTATAAAATCCTATAAAGGAAGCACGTGAAGTGCAGGCGAAAAAAAGTGTGAGCAAGGAAAAATTAGATCAAATGGGGTGTTTTTGTACATACATATGAGAAATAGAAAGTCACAAAACTTTATAAAAACTAAAGTTCTTATGTTGGGAATTTTTTCAAAATCGTGGGTTTTAATAAACACTGAAACTAATTTATTGATGCAGCTTATGTTTCAAAATGCTATTAGACCTTTCTAGAGTAATCTAGATAAGGTGTGATCTTACACATCTGCATAAGTATGTATGTATGTATCTGTACATTAAACTGCATCACCAAAATAAGTTGCGGTTTTTCCTCCATGATTACAAAAGGAGTTATTTATGAATACAAATGCATAATTTCTTAACGAATTTTTTGAAAAAAAACAAAATCCTCTCAGATGACAACGCAGTTTAAGCTTAAAAAATCTGCATACAGATATTTAAAAAATTTGTACAACGGAATCGTAATAATGAGAGCCAGCAAGCTGGTGTATATTTCACCTTTTATACAAAAAGGTCTTTGTTTCGATAAAATATTAACTTTTTTCCAGAGTTAATGGTTTTTCTATACCAACCATTACTTATTGAAAATGTTTGCGTGTATACTTATATATGTATATGTAAGTAAAAAATTTTAGCTACCATTTTTAGCTCCAACGACTTTTCCTAGCTCTTCTTTAGCCCCTTTTTTAAAGGAATTTGGCTACCACTAAGAATGATTCGCGGCAACACTGCCAATGAGGTATCAGTGGAAAGGTATTTTCTCACTCTCAAACTCTTCACGTCCTAACTTTTTTCATACATCAACACATCTTAATGCAACATCGGCCCAGCTCACGTAAATCTTAATATTTTTCCGAAATATTTTGGGGCAAGTCTTAAAATATCATAGATTTTACGATTCCAATGGAAACACAGTACCGATTTTTTTTTGTATATAAAATAAATCACAAGCTTGAAAATTTACAAGGTTGCACCACCTAATATCAATAAGTTTATTTTTTTATTTGATAAATGGCTTAAAGAAAAGGATATTTTATCTTTCGAAATAGCAATACATCCATACATATGTATATCCTTTTTTGAATTCACTTTAGACAAACCCTCTTAAAGACGAAAACAATAAATAACAGTCTTTATACCTTTTCGCACGCAACATAAACCAACCTATTTAACTTTTCTATTCTTTCAAAATATGTATGTATGTATCTGCGATTTTCTGCTCGGACAGCAAACCTTTCCTTTAAGGGAGGAAATTGATGTAAAATGAAGTCACACCTTTACAACCTAACTGTTATGTGCTATACAAAAGCAGATAAATGTTTAGGCAAATATGTATTTAAATGTTCAATGCTCTTAATTAATTCATACCAGACTTCAAAAACCGATAGATGGCTTTTGTTTGTATGCACATACATATGTATGTATGTAAGTATATCTTGCAAAAATTAGTTAAATCCTATAAAACAAATGACGAAAGTTCCTTTTTGAAATTGTATAACGCTTCACCAAAAAGGTACGCATAGCTAAATAGACTCCACGAGATTTTCAATTTTAACTACTTCTAATAGATTAACAGCAAATTGTTTTTGTAAATGCAGTATACAAATTTGGCTAAATTTTATTTGTATGTATATCTATGTACATAAGTATTTCCATTACAGTTACAGAATTAAATTTTTTGAACATTTTCTTCTAACCTTCGATGAAAATTTCTAAAAAATTTCTGTAGATTATTCAATCAGAATCTATAGTCCAAGATGATACATAGGATAAAAATGACGGAAGTCTAGTTCTAAGCCTAATACATGCAATATACTTTATACATACATACATACACACAAATGAATGAATGAACGTCGTGTTGTTGTTGACGGATGAGCCGACTCGTGCGGGGTTTAGTAGCCGCTACAACAACAACAATGAACGTCATCTTTTGGCTTGTTTGTGTTTGGCGTTCATCTTCTTCTTCAAAACTCAAACAATAAACATCCAATTTAAGTATTGTTGTACTGTTTTCCAACTATTTAGTATTCAACATACGCAAGCTGCACCTCCGATACTAAATCACAACTCATCATACGATGACTATCCTGATGACTATGATTATTATGTTGAGAGCGAAACAGTTCGAAGTGCAGAGAAAATTACATTAGACATCATTAACCCCGATTACAATTCGATGTCAACGTCTACTGTGGCTAACACAATTCCAACAACAAGTAAATCAAAAACATTCTTTAGTATATCATCATACAGTTATCCACGCAGTAATCATGTGCTGGAGCCGAGCTGTCCCAAAGCCTGCCTTTGTTTAGAAGAATACAAACATATACTGTGCAATGGCGCTGGACTGACACAAGTCCCAAAGGATTTGCCGGTCACATCTCTTCTCGTCGATTTAAGCGAGAACTATATCGCGGAACTGCATGCGGAGGATTTTTCAAATATTACTAAAATTCGTGAAATCAATTTGAGCGGTAATAAATTGAAAACGATCAATAACGAGGTATACTTTATGCAGTACTGAGTCTGTCTACAGTAAAAATGGAAAATATTTTAGGTCTTTGTAGGATTGAAATATTTACAACGACTTCGGCTAACTGACAATCAACTGACACACATTGAGCCAGACGCGTTTTTAGGCACCGACCTAAGTGAACTGGATATAAGTAACAACACTATAGTATTGAGAAGTGACGGTCCCTTTCTTACTCAGTCGACTCTACGAAAGTTTGCATGTCGTAATTGCAGTTGGAGCCAAATATATGATGACACGTTCAAGGGTTTAGACGGCCTACAATCTCTGAAACTGGATCTCAATGATTTCGGAAAGGTGCGTATTGTGTTCGTGTTTCTAGTGCTGATAAGTATGCGCGTATATACAAGAAGAACTACACATTTACTCACTTTGCCCCTTTACTTTTAAAAATAAAACCCAGTATAGTTTTTGAGTTTAACGGTTCAATACACAGGTAAACTGATGTACCTTGAATACAAGAATATGATTTTATGTACACATATAACTTAATAACAACACTATTATGATAAAAGCTTTCGTTTCTCCAAAGCTCACCGCATATGTTTATTGACGTTTTTTCATTCCATCGTCATTCTGACAGAAAATCAATGTAAAAGCTTTTACGCCGCTGCAGAACCTTATTAAATTGCGACTGCCTGAATTGGAATCGGCAGAAGTCACCGAACTGTGTAATTTACTAAAAACTATTGACAACATAAGCTTTAGAAACTTTGAAATTAGCTGCTTTGAACTAGTACTGGGGACATCATATAATGATAGTATTACTCTGGTGACAGATCCACCCTACCTGTCGACGGAGATAGCCATAGTACCAACAAAAGTGCCAGAAGATACAACTACTGAAGCAACGCCGAAAAAGGGAGAAGCAATAAACAAAGCAAGTGGCGTACAGAACAAAACGGCAAAGGCGGCTACGTCCAAACCAACAAATACTGCATCAATCGTGAAACAGAAGGAGATTCAAGAAGGAGGTATGTACATATGTGCTGTGCAAAGCAGAAAGCGCTTTTTTAATTATTTATTATTATTAGATACTAGGATGCCTGAAGTAAACAACACTTTGGGCTTGACGACAACGGCGACATTTTCGGTAATTGAAGAAAGTGCTAATAACTCTCTAACGACGCCCAAAATACTAACTGCCAGCATTTTGAGCGGCCCTGGAGATGCAGCAAATAAAGTAGTTGAGAATATTACTGTCAAATCGATTGTTGAGACTGAGAACAGCCATCAAGTACATATTTCTCAGGAAATGGTTAACCTCTTGCTTATATGTAAGTAGCATAATCACTGATGTCTAGATGATTTCAATCTTTTTTAATTGCTTTCTTTAAGGTATTATTATAATAGCGATTGTTGGAATCATTATTGGCATAATTTGTCGCAAAGATGTGGGCGGCATTAAGACAAAATGTTGTCGTACACGAAAACCTGAACCAAAGGATCAAGTGCAGCCGGCCGAAGAAATACCTTTAAATAAACTAGCATAACTAGATGTAATTTCATATTGAAATAGGAAGAATGTTGTTGCCAGGTGTATGAAAATATACTTTGTCGGATGATTTTAGCTAAGTATTGGAAGCCTGCTTAATATGTATATAGTTTATTTAATATTTTCAGTATAAGCAAAATCTAGAAATATTTACTTCTATAAAAAGATCAAACTGTTTTTTTTTTTTATAATTAAAACATTCATAAATTAGTATAATTAAAATTATGTACAAATTGGGTGGGGAAATATCCTGACAGTAGCACCGCGTACTTCAGTGTTACGAAAAAGAAATTTCGATTCAACATTTCCTACAAATCATTATGCCGGCACAATATACTTAGTATACATGTGTGTAACATATTTTCTGTTCGATACCTAGTAGCAATAGTTCGTAGTCGTTTTTTCGTATTTTTTTACAAAAAATAACTGCGTTTACAGGGAATAACCGCCAAAGTATAATATCAAAATTTAGAAAAAAACGCTTTTTATTTTTGAAATTGTTCTGATATGATTGAAAAATGCAATACGATTTTATTAACCCTTTCAAAAACTATGCTTAGAGAAGTGGGGTTTTCACGTATATATCGCACACCCATTTCATAGGTGGTACTACCCAAAATGTCCGGTTTACCAGAATACGTGGAAAAAATATTTCATAGCACATGGGCAATTGAGTCTTTACCTTAGAAATGTTCAACTAATTACTCCAACTTTTGTTGTAAAAATTTTTAGCGTAAAGTTCCAAAACTACAAATTAGGATTGAGCCACCTTTGAAGAGCGTGTGCGAGATGCAGAGCTGGCTCGTTAATATTCGTTTAGGAACTAAATTACTCTTAAATGCAAATTACAAGGAATCGTAATCACTAATCAATTTATTCAATTCAATTGATTCCTTTTTCCATTCCTTAGAAGTAATTTCAAAAGTATTTTTTCTTTGTTTTTAAATTCCATTACAAGGAATTGCATATTGTAATCGGAAGTATGTAATTATGTGCTAGTGATGGGATTTTTTTTCAATTCCTTTGAAAGGATTTGATAATGTAATATTTTTTTTTTCAATTCAGTTGATCGGAATTAAAAAACAAAATTTTTGCTTCCAGTTCCATTCTTCAAAGTAATTTAAAAAATCATCGAAAATATTAATTAAATTATTTATTGCTGTTGAATTGCAACTTCCTTGAATAAACAACTTTTACCTAAATAGTATCACTAATTGGACCCTAGGATAGCCGGAGAACTTAAATTGTAGCTGTTCAGTTTATGGGAAACTGTTAAATTTTCTGGAGCCTACCACGAACGCGCGAAAAAAATACATTAGAAATTACTTCTAAGGAATTTAAAAAGTAATCAATTCCTTTGCTGTGTACTAAAGAAATTGATTCCTAATTACAATTACTGAGGTATATTATTGTTATTGTAATGTAATTGCATTTACCCAGCTCTGGCGATATGCATGCAGCATTGCTAATTTCAAATATTAAAATTTATAACTAGTACCGTAAGATTTAAACCCTTCCTAGTAAAATATAGTAGCATGCATATAAATAAATTGGTCCGTAAGTTAACTTAAGCCGTTGTTCCTATTCGGGACAAATACATACATATGTAGGTATGTATGTATGTGTATACTCACACATTTACGTATACTATTTGAATTTGTTCAAATGCTCATTTACTAAAAGACTGTTACAACTCAAAAAACGAAATTTTCCGGCAAATTATGCAGAATTAAGGTGACCTCAATCAAACAGATGCGGTATACCGGTGCGCTACGATGCTTTCAAAAATTGTATCACAGCAAGCACAATTGATCGCACGATATGAGTGACTTGTTCATTGTAGAGTTCGGAAATTGAATTTATACTTCAACTCGTGAATTGTTACCCCATATTGGCCATATGAACAAAAAGTAGACAATTGTTTTTCTTAAAATTTCAGACCTTTTATCTGGCTTTCTATCGTCATCGCATCAAATACAATATCGTGTCGCATCTGTTTGCGGTCTCCTTTATTTGTTATATCATTCTTCAAATTTTGTGCAAACATTTTTCTACATTTTGGGAGTAATTTAAAAACTTAAAAACGCGTCTCCTAAAAATCTCGTTTTTCAAGTTTTGACGTAGGTGTATGTGTACAAATATATTTACATAAGAACAAAATATTTATATTAAATAAATGACCGTAAATCATTGAGTTTATGTTTTTTAGTCAGTGAATCTGTGTGTCAAATCCCTGCAGGGCCAGCTACTAGCTGTGAACTAAAATTCTACCAGTTTGCGTTTCAGCCCAACTAGTTCACGTTCTATCATTTTTCAATGTCAGCGACTGGTATTTTTAACATTGCGATGTCCTTCAAGATGTCAATTGTCAGGCTATGCATCAGCATCTACTAGGAGAAATACTAGTAGCATCATACAAGTTGATGAGGTAGTCTGCCAATTCATCCTCCATGAAAAGCATAAGTATGCCTTTTTGCTCGGGACGCTCCAACAGTCGCAATGGCCGACAGAGCAAAGCAATCGCGTGGTATGCCTGAGGTCTCAGGTTCAAATACTGGTGCAAGGAAAATTCTTTAATTTTATTTAAGTTTTTCTTATTTTATTTTTTCTGTAACTAATATTTTGATTTTAGTTTTTTTATTTATTTCACTGCTTTTTTATTTAATCACTGCTGCACAACGATTTACGAGTCTACGAGGCGTTGACATCTTTGCTGTGGTATTGACTGCAATGCGAGGAGAACCACAGCCCATAGTTCGTCGTTAGTTTTTGGTTTTGCATCCCATACGGCTTTCTTAAGGTCGGTCCAAAGGTTTGCTATTGGATTGAGGTCAGGAGATTGAGCTGGCCACTCCATGACCTCAATACCGTTATCCCGAAACCACAATTTTGCCAACTTACTTGTATGTTTCGGGTCGTTGTCCTGCTGTAGTACCCATTTGAGTGGCATTTCCTCTTCGGCGATGCATAACATTCTCCATTATTTTTACGTACTCATTTTGGTCTATAAGGTCTCCATGCTTCAAAGTATTCGCAGTGTACCTTGGCTGATATTCCATATTTGGCTGTATCTTACGATCTCCCGAGAGCCTTTACTACCGTATAAAACAATTTTTGACTCATTCGTTCAAAAAAATGTTCCTCCACTTCCGAATAGGCCAATCCAGGTGTTTTTTGGCAAAATCTAGTCTGCGTACTGTATGACTTTTTTCAAAAGCGGGACCTTATGTGGACTTCTAGCATAAAGCTTGTGTTCTCGGTGCCGTCTCCTTACTGTATGAACACTACATGGTAACTTTAGGTTATCCAAAATTTCTACAGCTGACATAGTAGGACGGGTCGTCGAATATTTAATAATTTGTCGTATGGCAGTCGTTGAAAATTTCTGCTTACCACCCATTTTTCAGGTTTATTTTGATACGTTAACGCATTTCGAATAGTGGTGGCTAAACACCCAATGTTTTTTCCCAATTCTTTATATGTTTTCCGATTTATAATAAGGGTTTTAATAATTTCACGTTTTTCGTGAAAGCAATGCAGACCTCGTCCCACTAAAAATTCTGAACAGCTCTAATTGAGACTGGGGCAACGATATCACTGGATCACAAATTTTAATTTTGATTTTGTTCTCCAGACGCCACTATCCAATTAGTATGTAGAATCGCTCGCTGATTTGGAAAATCGGGTTTACTTTTTTTGTATGGATACGTTTTCGAAATATATATTTGCAGTTTACCGTTATTCAGCTTAAAAAAGAGTGGTTCCACTTAATCCGGTATATCTTCCGAACCAATTAAATAATCGTAAAGTCGGAATTTTAATGCTCTCACCCCCTAGGATTGTTCTATATCGAAAAAAGTATACCCCTATTTTTTATTTTGAAATTAAACATTTTTTAGAGGTCGCTCAAAGCGCTCAAAGTTTTCCATGTATTTTGTATGGGGAAAAACAACATTTCGTGGAAATGGTATGGAATTCTTGAAAATCAATATTTTTCGGAATCACCGAGCGATTCTACATAGGAATTGGACAGTGGTATCCATAGAACATTTTTATTTTTTACTCACACTGATACGGAACTGATACGGCAGTGATGTGTCTGGATAGACCTTTACAGAACTTTCGAGTTGCTATAAGTAAAACCTCTTTAGAGTAAAAGGCCGCTTTACATACAACTTTGCAAGAAATCAATATGATCTCCTGTTCGCTAGACGTAGATCTCTCTCTGCCGAAGTACGTATACATACATAGTTCATGTTTTTGTCATGGAGTAGTTTTCGAAATCGGTTTAAATATTATTTACGTTATATTCGTAATATTTTCTAATGTGTGTAGTCTGCAAGATGATTTGGTTCATAGACTTTAGAAATAAATAAAAAAAGAAGTGACGAGGCGAGATAACCGGGAGGGACTTGGCTATACTCGCTGGTACAACCGTTTGAATGAATGAATAGCCGATCTAAACGGCCCTTAATAATTGCACTACACCATAAATAATTTTCACCAAGATTAATACTTAAAATTGTTACAAAACTTACCTCCATAACCAAGTTGACACAGTCTTGCGATTCTTTGCAGTCCAACAAGGCAACGACATTCTCATGATGTAGCTCTGTCAGTTCTTTAAGAATTTTTATTTCCTTTCCAAGCAAATTCTGCGTTTTTATCAAACCCTTTTTTGTGATGCATTTTATAGCAACGGGGAAATGTTTCTGCAAAATCAAACCAAAAAATTAGCAAAATGGGTAAATTGTGCAATTTTAAACCCAATTGTAAATGAAACGTCTAAGTTTCTGTGGAAAGCCTTTTGCACAAGGAGGACAACTTTCCGAGGCAATTTTGTTGCGCCAATTTGCACAGTGTGCTGGGCAAACCCTCAAGCAGCTATTAATTTCAACTTTTTAATTTAAAAATTTTTCAAATAATTAACTTCCAAAAATTACACAAAATATAAAATTGTCCTCATGAAACGCACTGCACAAAGTTGCCCAAATTGCTCAAATATGAAACTTGCGCGTATAGGGCAGTACTTTTAATATATGTATATTATTGTATATCGATGGCTGAGTGAAAGATCGACCTATCTCGGCAGCCAGTTCGAAAACGCCCTATCGCAGACAATTTTTGAACAACGCTCTATCTCAGAAAACTTTTCAAGAACGCCCTACTTCAGAATTCGATTGAAAAACGCCCTATCTCGGAATTTAGTTGAAGAACGCCCTATCTCAGCTGTCGATTCAAAATCGCCCTATTTTAGCTTATTTTCAATGTATTTGCCTTTGAGACAGGGCGTTTTTCAATAAAATTTTGAAAGAGGGCGTTTTTCAATCAAATTCTGAAGTAGGGCGTTCTTGAAAAGTTCTTTGGAATAGGGCGTTTTTGAACTGGCTGCTGAGATAGGTCGATCTTCCACTCAGCCATGCTATGAGACAAAAGTGGCGTAACCCAAAAAAAATTTTGTTTGCACTTACATACCTTGTTAGAATAGTCTAAAATGTGATACATTTATCTATCTTCTATCTGTACCAGGGTAGCCAACTTATTTTTGAGAATTCCCCGATTACGGCAATGAAATTCACCGATTTTGCCCGAAATTTCGTAAAATTCCCCACCCACAGATATCTCCTTATTTACAAAAAAAAAAATACACAAAAATTGAATGTATTTTGATATGTTGCTGGTGTTTCTGATTATTTTATTTTTAAATGTAATTTATCTATGTATTCATAGGCCAAAAAAAAATCAAAAAAAA